ATACCAATCATAGAATAATAAGCATACATTAAAAAGTTACTATATCATGTACTAACTTGTTTGTATCATTATATATATCAGTAATAACTCTTAATACTTCAGGTGTTGTAAGTACACTAGAGCATCGCCTATTATCTGGATGTATTGTACTTTTATATGCTAAATTAAGTTTATTAAAATAGAGATATTTGTAAGATTCTGAAGAAACTGTCACATGTTTAGCACATTGTTCAGCAACTGAACTCACAAGTGTTGTCAGTTGTGGACCAAGAAAATTATCAAGACTTTTAAAAAAATCTAGTAGCAAGCTTGTTTTACCTGTAAAATAAATATTTTAATTTTATATCCTTTAAAGATTAAAAATCGAAATAGCATGATTATTTAAAAAGAAGAAAATAATACTTACTATCAACAAATAGACATATCGTAGCACTCAGTGCTCTATAAACTACCAAATATAAAGATATAGGTTTTGTAGAATAATTTATAAATACTTTAGGAGACTTTCCAGTTAGTATGGGTTCATTAACATTAGATGGGCCAGTAACGAATCTATAAGATTTATGTAACTCATTATGTCATTGTACATAAAAAAATAAATTATTATGCATGTACTGACTTTCCATAGTGAGGAGTTGTAGTAAATGGTGAAGGTGAATTTCTGGGCAATGAACCTTCATGTAGTTCTTTTTCAAGGTGAGCTGGTAAAAGTGTACTTACTAAATAATTATAAACTACTTGCATATCCTCTGGCTCTAGACCACTCCTAGATAACAATAAATAATTATTATTTAACTTATTTATATATATTTAATTATTTATATTATAATAATGATATTTATATTACTAACCATACAACTAAAAGCAGTATATTTTATTTGAGAAAACATAGCTTCTACAAGATTCATGAAACACTGAACCCGTAGAAATGTTATTTTATCAAGAGGTAAAAACTGTAAACCTTGGAAAACATCCAAAATATCACTATTATTCAATTTTAAAGACATTAAGTACTGTAAAAAATGCATGATGTTAAAAATTATATTAAAAGGTGTACAAATTACACATTCTATGAATAGCATTTACCCTTGAATAAAAGTGTTCAAGTTTGTGTTTTAATAATGTTATGGATCCACATTCAGGTTCATTGATAATAGTATCAAATGATCCCATAAATAATCTGAACATGACATATGCCTGCTTTAATATAGCTTGACAGACAATGTTAGAAACTTCATCATATTGATATTCTGTGTATTTATTCCCATCTTTTTCTTTCCATATATATGGTACACCAACGATCTGAAAAATAATAATATGACTTTTAAATTTTCTTAAGTATTGACTCTTACAAAATATAAAATATATTATATTTTTTTATATATTTTTCTATATTTTTTTCTGGATAGTGATCAAATCTTACCATTACCATCCAAAAATTTGGTTCTGGTTGATAGTAAATTTGACGAGTTTTATGTGTATGACAATAATCACATGGTTGTCCAGGATTAAATGATCTAAAAATGTTAAATATAAAAACAAAGTGTTATTATTGAATTTTAAGACAAAGATCTTAGATATTTTATTTCAAAAATACATTATGCTTATACATACTGTGTGAATTTAATAATTGCTTCACTAAGACCTATATTTTTAATTTGAACATCTAAATCTCTTTCTGGATAATAATAAAGTATTTTTTTTTCTTCCTGTATACAAAAAATATGTAAAAAGTGACGTATATTACATGTATATAAAATGCAAAAATCTTGTTGTTTTACATATTAATACTGCATTATAAAATTTCGTTTATTTACCTCTCCTTCCTTTTTTGCATATGTGCCATTGAATATATAAAAGTGTTCTAATGTAACCTCCGTTTTTGACGACATTATGACAAATAATTTAAATAAGAGATATTCCACCTTTTCATATAAAATAAAAAAATTGTAATACAATATTTTATTGCCTGAAATGACTATTTCACTTTTTTTCTTGAAACATTTTAAGCAACTAATAAAAAATAACCTTAAATCTACAATACTTAATAAATTATTTTAAAAATTTAATAAATGTTGATATGGCAGTATATTTTATTGTCGTGTGATATTTGCACATTTATGATTTTTGGTATTAAATATTATACATACATAAACTTTATACTTTAGTATTTTAAGAAATGTCGACGATACTTTTACACACTTTATTATACTTTAATCAATTACATATACGCTTTATATAAATTATATACATATTTGAATTAAGGTATATATTTTAAATGATTACAATTATTTTTTACAAAATTCATAATTAATTTATGACATTTTTATATTTGAATTAGTTTTTGAACAAATCTTGTCAGTACTGCATTTCGTGATAGAAGTAAGAAGTCTTAAGCTGATAAGATATTTTTATTTTCAAAATATATTTCCTGGAAATACAAAGCAATCTCTGCATGATATATAAATAATTAAAAAAATTCTTGACTAGAAAACTGATCAAGCAGGACATATTTCTTAAAATAGAAATTTGGCATATACATATATATTTAAGGTTTACTGGGAGTGCTTCTTTTCCATTCCGTCAGCAAATTGATATCCCAAAAATAAATAAAATAAAATGAAATACAGTTAGAAAATTGAATAAAGTCAAAAAATAACAAATAATAAAAAGGGAATAAAATAAAAAATGCAATAAATGGGAAATATATAAAATTCTCGAACAGTTTATTTGCATAGAATACAGAATATCCAAGTCATGAAATAAATGAAATTATTCAATGTAGTGTACATCGTTTGACGTTTCTCATCATTCCCAACTTAAAGCATTTGATTGTGTGATTATAGAGATACTGTTCTTTTTGAAGCCATTTCAGACATGGCGTATTACACTATATTACAGTACTTGCATTTTCTAATGACATGCTCTATGCAAATAGTAGATCAAGATTCTGTTTTGGATGTCATCATTCATTAACGCTGAATAATACTAAGAGTTTTAGAGGGTTTCATTGCCTGGTACAAGGTGCACGGAAAATCAACATAACGAATCAGCGAGTGGCTGCTATGTATATACTTTATCCACTGCTCTAGTCTCCTCAATTGCGATGAAAATGTCTTGAATGATACTAGTTATATATTAACTGTGACAAAAGCCGTAAGAGTTTATACGTTACGATAATGTTGAACTAGATTATGTATTCATTCGTGAACATTTGATGGTTATTAACTAAAGAACATTTTTATTACTTTTTTTTTCATAATTTAACCTTGTAAGTATAATAAAAAATTTTTATTTATATTAAGAATATAAATGAATAAACAATTATTTTTATTTGTTGTTGCAAAAATTGGCTTTTACGAAAAAACATAAATTTCTACGTTAATAAATTATCGAGTTATAAAATACAAAAGTTTCAAATTCTTAAAAATAATACTGAAACCTTACATGTATAAACTTAATACATAAGACGATAGATTCTCATATATGACGTCTCCCCAAAATGATAATTATATTTCAGAATATATGTAGTGGTAATGAAGGGAATCATAGTTTTATAGGGGGCAGTGTTTCACTCGAAATATATAAAGTTTTTATTTAATAAGGAAAAAATATATGTAAGTTAAATTATAATAAATATTAAAGAATATATTAATGAATAAATTGTTTTACGATGGTTTTAAAATGTTATATAACTAGTAATTTCCTGTGAATTTCAATTATAAAAATTAATAATATAAAGGTTTTATCTTTAAGAATATTTCCTTTCATAGGTACAAAAATATATGATAAATATAAATACTTTTTTTTTCTTAAATTCTGTTCAATTTTAATTTCTATTATAAAATTGAAGAGAATATTATTTATTAAATTTCACAAATGCAGAGTTACAATGCGAAATCACTATCGATAAGTATATAAAATCGAGATTCATTCGATTCTGACGAATTTCACGTATTACGTGTACCAAACTGAACATAATAAATTTGTCGTGATGTGGGTAATGATTAAATTTAGATAACGCACAGTAACGAGCAACATGTGATGATAAATTATAAAGGCGAGAAATTTGGAAAAGTAATTGGTCTTTAGGTGTACAGAAGATCATAATAATACACCAATGGCCTATCAATCTGTCCGACAGGAGTACATGCAAATGCCTGTGGTGACACGAGCTTACACAACAGCTTGTGTCATAACGACTCTTGCTGTGGTTTGTATAATATTTCTTTCATAATACTATCTTATACGTGCAGAATACAAGTTTGAAAATAATAAGATTATTTTCATTTTTCTATTTTAGCAATTAGATTTGGTATCTCCATTTCGATTGTACTTTAATCCCACATTGATTATTGAACAATATCAGGTAAACAAAGATCTATCCAAATTGTTAGTTTTTAGTCTTTATTTATTTGTATGAGTTTCATGATTATTATCCTTTGTAATATAAATATTCTTTCAGCTATGGAGATTAATAACGACATTTTTATTTTTTGGAAACATGGGTTTCAATTTTCTTTTCAATATAATCTTTACTTATCGGTATTGTCGAATGTTAGAAGAAGGGTCATTTCGCAGAAGAACAGCTGATTTTGTAATGATGTTCATTTTTGGAGGCATATGTATGATTGTATCCTTTTAATGCTTTAATATAGTTTATTATTTTTCTTAATGTAAACATAAATTAATGTAACTCTAATATATTTTATTACATATAATTATCCTGAGCTTGTTATAGATATTTGCATTTTTTGTTAATTTGTTATTCCTGGGCCATGCATTTACAATTATGTTAGTTTATGTTTGGTCCCGGAGAAATCCATTTGTTAGACTAAACTTTTTTGGACTTTTAAATTTTCAAGTAAGTTTAGCTCTTGTTTCTCTAAGTTTTGTAGAGGAAATAGATCATTTTTTAATATGTTTTTTCAATAGGCACCATATTTACCTTGGGTGCTTCTTGGGTTTTCTATAGTTCTTGGTAATACGATTTGGGTGGATCTTGTTGGAATGGCTGTGGGCCATATGTATTACTTTGCAGAAGATGTATTTCCACGTTTAAGAGGAGGTTTTCGTGTTCTTAAAACACCACAAGTACTGTAAGTCATTTTAATAAAAAGGTTGCACATTATATCTTATTATTTCTTATTATATATTATTATTTATTGTTTGTTTACAGTAAGACTTTGTTTGATGAACATCCAGAAGATCCAGATTATACTCCACCGCCTGAAGATCGTCCTGGTGGATTTAATTGGGGCCAAGAAGCCAATATGCAATGATTTTAAATTCAAGGTCCAGCTTCCAAATCATCTTTTACCAATTGGCATATCAAGTAAACTTTTATATTGCTATACATGCAACATTGTTCCTTAATTTTCCCAGTTACTAACAAAAGTACTAAACATTTGCAGCCTTGATATTACAGAAAATGTAATGAGAAACTTATAACAAAAGTAAGACTTCCAATTTTTTACAGGGGTTACAATTTTTGGCAGAAAAATTTCTGTACTAAGTGTAATAGTTATATGTGTTTTAAAATATATTATGTCATACATAAATAACTACAAATGAAAACAGTATTTCTCAGATAATCGATTATTGTGATACATTTATAATGCTTACGATTTTCCGAGAATACAAGGAAATTTTATAATAGTGATATCATTTATTATCATAGATTGTAATGGATATAAGTTGCAAATATCTATAAAGTACAAAATTTAATATATATACATAGAAGTAATATGAATTGTCTTACTCTGTTTTCTTCTTTTTAAATTTATTCTGATAAGTGTTTGATAGTTTATCATAAAATTTGCTTAAATACTGTTTTCGTAACAATTATATTGTGCACAGTATGAATTTTTACTATAATCTTATACTTGATATAATACATAATTTTAATTGAATATAGAATATTAGAATCTTTATAGTCTTGCTGTGTAAATTTCGTTAAAAAAAAATCCTCGTATAATACAGTATAAAATTGAAACCCCTGATTTCAAAAGATTCTACTGTAAAAATCTTACATTACTATTGTAAATAATAGAATACATCACAGTTTTTCTTTTTATGGGCATTTGATAAAAATAATATTACAGTAATACACATATGTTATTTAATTCCTAAAAAAATCAAAGATAATTTAATAAAGAATGAAATGGCATTCCTTTTCTTGTGATGTTTATAGTTTATGTGTATGAATAAGAAAAAAATACTAATGAATTATAAAGAATATTAGATCACGTAGTTTCTAGATGAGTATAGTTGTTTTCTTTTTCCTAGTAAAATAGTAAAGGTCATTGAATTTAATAAACGTTATTGGTTATTTGGTTTAGAATGTCATAGTATACATTATGCTGTGATGTATTCATATTACCTATCAAATGATTGCATTCTAATATATACTAGAACGATATTTGTCGATCTTACTGTGACAAAGTGTACATTGGCAAAAAGCCAAAGTATGACAAAGAATTTCCACTTGACCGATTATATATGACTTACTAGTTAAAACTGTGAGAGACTTCCGAGTGTAATTCATGTTTTCTTCTTTTTTTCTTTTTTTTTTTTAACGTAAGCGTGATATTTTAGTAATAGCACAATTAATGTTATCGTCTGTAAGATACAACTCATACTTCGAATCTATAAAAATTGGTTTGATATATTTCAAAAGACCGTAGCTGATACACTGAAGACTTTAACAATTTTAACTGCAAGAATCAAGGCTACAAAAGCCTCGAGAATTTAACCAGATGGTAGCCTTTTTGTAAATATTAGGTAAAAATGTTATTTATATGACCATTAAAATGAAATAAAATGGTTCAATTTAGTTTGATATCATTACTGTATATATTATATATTATAATTTATCTATATCTTATAAGAGATGAATGCATTTAATTTCCAATTAAACTTCGAATACATTTATTTTTACATGATCATTTGTGAAACTTACTATAATTTTTGAATATTTAATCCAATAAGATAATTAGTTTTTATTTATGATACATTACAGTGTTGTATTATTAAGTTATTGTGCCATATGAAACATATTGTTATTATCAGTAAAAAGTAACAAATTTTTTTTGTAATTACTTGTTTGTATATATTTAAACAAATTTATAGATTTATGTGCATCTTTTGCTAGTCAAATAATTAATTTATTCATTAACATCCTATTTCGGAGATAGTGTTTATTGTGGTGGTTACAAAAAAGATTAACGAAGATAAAAAATGATTTACAAAACCATTTATTTAGATTTAAATAATAAATGATTATCATAACGGGATATAATGATGTACAACTAGGTACATATACGCAATGACATGGACTATAATACAATGATCAAGACTCTATTGTACATACTTTATTATATTGCCACCGTTGCTAAAAGCACTGTAATGTCATCTGGTTTACCACCTAAAAAATACAAAAAAAGCACATGGATATACACATGGATGTTTGAGTTAGCCTTGATTATCCTATAATAACTTGAAACAGTTATTCCAGATCAAAAAATTAGTAAAGATTTCTTTCGAGCCATTGCTCTGTTTACTTTGAGAAACAGTTTATTGTTTGTTAGAAAGCTTAAGGGAAAAAAAAAAATATACAAAAAAAAGAAGAAACAGCATATTTGTATAATATTTTTATTTTAGATATAAGAATTAGAAAATAGATAAAAAAGTAGTGGAAGAAAGCTACTTTACTATGCAGATTTACCAAAGTATAAAAAACAGGTACATACATAAGATATAAGAAACTATGAAATGTATGATATAAATAAACTGAATATATTTTTCATTAAAAATTATGTGTACTATAAATAGAAGATACTAGACTTATCAATTGAAAGAGATTTTGAACTAATTTTTTATAGTATTTTAAATGTCAACATTATTTATATACCTATAGTGTCAATTCCATTTTCTCTAGCACTTTGGGCAAATGGAGACATAAATGCGCCATCAAAAGCTAAACTACGAGCCATCCAGGCTATTGAGTTCGCAACTCCTTGTATCTTAGTAGGATCTCTTTCTCCTTGAACTCTACGCATTTCAGTGATAAGTAATTGGTCAGGCACATTATCGAATACACCATCTGTTGCTAAAAGAATTACATCACCATCTTCAACACCAAAACTTGAAGTATCAGCAGATTCTGGACTAAAGTTTAAATGAAAATACATTGTACATTAACAAAATGTTACATATATAACATAAATTAACAATGTATTTTTATGGAGTGTAATACCTGTCGCTAAGTACCAGACCAGAATGTCCTGGAGGTGGAAGAGACAACTGAAATGGAGTATTAAAGTAGTGTTGCTGTTCGGAAGAACGATGAACTACTTCTCCTTTTCTTACAACTACAAAACCGCTATCACCTATATTAGCTGCATAAATGCTGCTTGTCTCTTTATTGAGAACTATAACACATGCAGTACTGCTACCTGGAATAACCATACAACCATATTAATGAAACAGTTTTTTTACCTTTTCTTTTAAATTCAAAATTGGCTTAAAATAATGATAGAAAATACGAGTTACAAATTGCTTCTATTACCTAATATGGGTTGTTTACTTTCTAATAATTCATAGTAACTACGTGCTAATAAACCAGCTGGTTCAGAAGGTGTGAACCTGCCCATAGAGACCAGTCTTTCACAAGTTCTCATTAGAAAATTAGAAAATTCTCCTGGATCGATTCCATAATGCCTCCATCCACCTACACCATCTGCTACACCTTAAAAGTTAAAAAAACATTGTCAAATTACTAAATGTGAGAATTGTTTGTGTCTTTTAAAACATATTTGAAGATGTTTATAGATATTCCAATGTGAAAAGATTTTTGGTAAACGCATTTGATATTGATAAGATTTGCAGGAGTTTCACAAATTATCAGTCATGTATGAATACATTACAATAATAAGCTTCATTACTTATTGATGGTTTTAACAGATTAACATTACCTATTACTTCGACAGTCTTAAATTTGGCACTAAACCAAGCGTCATCACCGAACTGTCCCTTACGTATACGTCCTCGTGAAAAATCTTTTGGAAAGCCACACACAGCTGAAATGAATGATGCTTCGCGACGTTTATTCACATTAGGATCGGCGCACGCTGTATAATTCGATATGCCATTCCATATCGCCCGAGTTAGCAACCTTCCGGTCCAATAAATGGACTGCATCGTACGGTAAGGCTCAAACTTTCGTGACGCACATCTTTAATAGTTAAACGACAAATCTGCACGAATCGTGCAATCAATTCACAAGCGTATCGGAGGCATGTTTTGTTGTTTTCGTTGGTGATGTATCTATCATCGATCAAATTTATCAACTACTTCCTTTACTGCACTGAATACCGACTACACTGTTCTCGAGTTTTGATCCTATTCTTGAAGAAACAAAGATTCGTGACCGTAATTCCAACTGAAATTATCTCCTGTTACGATGTAACCCGAGAAAGTATCTACTAGTGCTACTAACTAACCGACTTGAATACTGTTAACATTGTACCTACATCACTATATGCCTTGCAACTAACTTCATGTCGATTGTGGATGGAAAGGGCTTCCATTGTTGAAGGTTGTACCTTTATCACTAAACATTGTCGCTAATACAAAAGAAAAGAAAAGTTAATTACAAGGCTATTTATTAATAAAGTCGAAAATACTTTAATATTATAGAAAGAAAGAAATTTTTTGAATTTTGGTAATAAATGGAAATATATTTCTGTATATGAAAACAACGAGAAAACAGTATTCATTTCTGTTTCAATGTTGGCATTATGTTTAACTATTGTAGTAGGAATATGTTATTATTAATTGTATTATTATATTTTTTATTAATAAATGCAATTTTATTAACATTATATAAGTATATTAATATAAAATGTAAAATTTAGATCGTGATCGATAGAAAAATCGATTCTTAAGGAAGACTCTGAAGTTGAAAACGTAAATCGAAAGATGATATCCGCGATTCTCGAATGAATATCGAAAATTTAAAAATATTGTAGATATGAGATGCGTTCACTACTGTTGTGTCGGAAGTGGTTGCTCGGTACAACTAAAATTATTTAAATCATATGAAAATCTAAAAATACGTGACGATTTGTGAAAAAAATTAAAGCAGTGGTCATCCAGTAATAGTTATATATGTAAGTACTTTTCTCCTTACTTTCTTTTTATATGAATTATGTTTTCAAAGAAATTGATAATGTATTTCAATTTTTGAAGGAATAGATAGGGAAGTAAACAAATGAAAAAAGCACATTGTTTCTTTTTTTATACATCAGAATATTTTTGTAACGTGATAGGATAGATTCTTAATTAAAAAAGGAACATATTGGTCATCTTGGACAAAAATAAATTTCAAGATAAACAGTCATTTGGCACGCTTTCACGTCTGGCATATTGAATTCTGTGTGTGTATAACATTCCTGAACAATTTTTATACTTTTGTATATTGTGCGAACACAGATAAATATGACATAAATAGTTAAAATAAATTGTTCAAGATTTTACGGGGAATATTTGAATAATAGTAATACGTTTTTTCGAGTAAATCGCTTTACTAATGTTTATTAATAAACATTTCATATAGATTATTTTAATTCATATAATTTAATACCTGTTTACCGTTGTTTTTGTTGTTGATGTTGCGATCAATAGTTTATCGTTATTTACACTATTCAGTATAAAATGCGAGTTCAAGATTAAATCACACCACTATGTTTTATGGACACTATCTGTCATCGATTAATAATTATCAATGCTTGTACTCAGGAAAATGCGAAGGGGGCAGTAGGGCAGTATTTTCGTTATCACTAGTGTTGTTGGTATTTAATTCTTTAAGGGAACCATTATTTATGATACAATCTAGACTAAAGTTATCGTCTAGTGGGCATTTGTTAATATTAGGCAAGTGATTAACATCGATTCCACGAACGTCGGGGAGCTTTTGTTGTTGGTGGGATTGAGCATTTTCAGTCTCGTCGTTGTCGAGACCGTTATCAGTGTGGGGTGGGGATGGATAATAGCCGCGCTGCTGTATTGGCAGTTGTTCCACCGGCAGTTGGTGTTGTTGTTGTTGTTGTTGGTGTTGTTGCTGCTGCTGCTGCTGCTGATGTTGACGTTGGTGTTGCTGTTGCGACGACGGCTGCGGCTGCTGCTGCTGCTGTGGCTGCGACTGCTGCGCATAACGGTGGCAATGATGCTGCTGCTGCATTTGTTGACGATGTTCTTGTTGAGAATGATGTAGTTGCAGCAGCTGCACTGTGCTACCAGTCATTACAGGTGGCGGCGGTGGCGGCGGCGGCGGCGGCGGCGGCGGCGGCTGCTGAGGTGGCCAGTGTTGCACTCCGTCCTCACTAGTCCGTCGGGCTAATTGTTGAGCTTGAATAAATGCATCACTAGAAAATAACAAGATTACACGAGCCCATTGGATCTATTCCACGACCACTAATGCTGCATACACACGCCGCGGTACGCGCGCAGGGCCGCGGACACGCGGTTATACATTTCGATAAGCTCCTAATCATCAATCTTCTTTTTCCGCATACTTACCTTCCTCTTTTTCTATATACGCTTCTCTATTTGAATTTATATTCAGTTGGTCCGCCTATGCATGTGTTATTAATTTTACACATAAATCGGCAATTATGGAGGTGCTCTAGATTATATGTGTCCATTCAAAATATTAAATGTTTTGTGTTTGGATACTCAATTTAACGGTTTACCTGTTCCATAGTTTACAAACATGGATTTTATATTATCGTAATATAAATAATTATAGCACAAAATAAATGATAAATTTACCTTGCGTAGATTTTTCCGACGTAATTCTTTCATAATTACCGTTATATATGTTTTCCTAAATCAAATTCAATCATTTGTAATCGTACCTATCAAAGTATAACACATGCATACACGCGTCCATGTTTTACGTACACAAAAAGCCTGGTAGCCATTGCGCACGTGCGAAGCCTTGCAATTGCGAATACGAACGGCTGCCTGCCGAAAGTACGTATATATTACAAGTTCGTAGTCTTATCGTACGATTAAAGCGAAGATTTAACAAAAAAGGAAACTTTCAGATAAGGATAAGTGCGGAATCGTTCTAACGCGTCTTAAACCGCAGATAATCGCGTTCGCGAATAGATCACTTTGCGAAGAGGTTCATTCCGCAAATAGAGAGTTGCTACTACGCCTTTTTATTGTAGTCGCGATCAACGAGTCTCGGGTATGTCACGTGACTCGTAAATTCACACTATTGTCTTCGCCATCGACATATGCTAACATATGCTTACTATGTTTCTGGCCATTCGCGCGTATAAAGAGAAATAACATACGTTTCGTATGTTGTTTGCAAAACACATACACAGGCGCATCGCACAAGCAACTAAAACAGCAAATTAGCATGCGAAGATTGGTGTGTTGAATTTTGTTGGTACATTTTTTCATTACTCTCTGTATCGCGGAAATCCGAGACAACGGTAAAACTTTTCATTGTTCGGTACCTTTATACCGATCCTTTCGATCATGGTCATTCAGTGACCTGTTTAAAGACGGACTTGCAAGATGTCGTTAGGTGTAAAAGACCGATGGTAATGTATGCCGAGTCTATTTATATTCCGTTTTGGCGTTTAGATTCTAGTTGACATTTGGGATAGTGTAGATAGATGTCCCAGCTTCGAATCGATTCCCGTTTAATTGAATAAATTTCATAAACCCATCGAGCAATTTGCTTTTAACACGTACTTTTACTCGGACATGCACTAATCCTTATCTGAATGCGCATTCATTGTAGTGATGGGAATTATTACGATCAGACTATCTACGTATACGGGATCGCGATTTCGTTTCGATAAATATATCTTTCGATCATGTTACATGTTCATACTTGAATTTTGATTCCCAACACTAATCGCGGAACGCGTGGGGAACTCTCGTAGGATTTGCACAGGGGATTTGCAGAAAGTTTCTTTACCGAACGTCAATCTACTAAGCCCGTGTTCGTACTGAAAGAATCTGCGATACCTTCCACTATCGGGTGTTTCACCCCTAGTATTTGAGCCTCTGTCAGGATCGGCAGTTGCATAGATACCCTCCTCCTTGTACATTTGATGGGAATGTTGAGAGTGCTGATGGGTGCCGTAAGGACTTCGAGACGATGGTTGACAATATCTACCGTAGGTATCGTCACGGGCGCGGCTACATCTTCTGCTTCTACGTAGGAAATCGAATCAGTTTCTTGAGAAATGTTAGACACTTTTTTTTTGTTTAATCGTGGTTGCACGTTTTTTTTTTATTTGTTTTCTTAATTTTCTTTTTATTTATTTGTTAATATCGTTTCTATTTAAAAATTTTTGGTACTTTCGGGTTGTGTTTGTCTAACCAAAACGAATCGAGAAACGAGTTCAAGTTTCCACGAAATATCCCAAATAATAGTTCCTCGAGGAAGGCACGGTATAAACAGACTCTGCATGTAAGATTCATGGAAGATGCTTATCGGCGGTGCATGTCAATTCGCCGTGGTTTACCAATTATCCGTGTGATGGCGCGCTCGTCTGCAACGTATAACTACGCTAATGCTACTGTATCCAGACACGTGTTACAGGTCTGATAGCTGTAATATGCACAAAGTTAGAAAGCAAAAGATATAAAAATACGAATTGGCGAGAGAAGAAAAAAGTAAGCAACGACGCACTGGTAAGAATAGTAGTAATAGTAATAGTATTGAAAGTTGTGCCAGCGTGTAAGATGCTAATCGAGTACGTTGTCAATGAATATATAAAGATACGAAAGAAATGATTCAAGGCTGAACCAACGTAGCTTTATGGACTTGCTACGATTTGTCGCTTAGATCGATATTTGCGTGAAGTTGTCCCTTCTCTTTTCGGTGTATACGAGATTGTTGAATGCTTGCTAGTTCTACATTGAAATTTCTCTCTCGAGTCCAAAAAGATTTATGCGTATCATTTCGCGGCCAAATTAAAGGAAATCTACAACGAAAAATTGGACAAAATGATAGGCTAGAGAATTATCGTTAATTGAATTTATAAAGTGCATTCGTCGCTTACTGATTATTTTTGCATCGCAAAGATTATCTATTATCTATATTTCCATGATTACTAGTATTTAAATGAATTTAATTATAAATTAAATATTTAAGTTTTATATAAATTAATTTAGTCAATAATGCAATGACTGTCTTATGATTTTGTTACATTTCAGGGTGAGTCCTGAAATTTCTCCTGATATCATTATCCGAGGTAAAGGTTTCGTTTACAATGCAAAAGGAATTGACTCTGAACTCATCTTTTGAATTACAAAAGATTGCCTTACAGATAAAAATGATACTCTTAGCTAGAATTAACCAAAGATTGGCATTTGGTCATTCAGAGGAATACGGCTTCTAGTGGATCATTATGTAATCACATTACTTTAACGTTTATACTATAATTTTCTTCAAGTAATACGATAAAAGGTATCCCTATTTACTTATTTTTCGTTGAGATAATAAATTGCCTGGATCGAACGTGGTTCAGCTACGCGAACAAGTATTTTCGTCCAACTTATCGTTGCAGATGTTCCATTGGGGATGATGGTGTGAACGTAAGTAGCGCTGATCTAAGTCGGTCGCGATGGAAGCTATGCCAAAGAACGATACGACTGTATGGTACGGTAGAAGCGACGAGGTCGAAATGAACGTAAGCATGGCGAAGCCGCGTATTTCGCATCAGTTCTTACCCTTGGGAGGACTCGCTACAAACGGACGAATCTTTTCTGTAGGGACGATCGGCCTCGCTCTCGGACATCCGCATATCCTCGGAACCGGTTGGACTTGTGTTTCTAGCTGTGTGCTCCAGCTGCTTAATCAGGTCCTTCAGAGTACGTATGCGAACAGGAGCGCAAGGTTGGTATTCCTCGTACTCCTCGTCCGCCTGACTGTCGATATGCTTCATGATTTTACGATACGAATCCGTAGAGTATTCTGGCAGAGGTTCCGTCAACAGTTCCGCCAGAGGTTCCGTTAAAGCCTCGTCGTCCATCGGATTTCCACTGGTCGAAGGTGTACCCGATGCATCGCGCTGATCAGCAGCCATTTTCAGTGCTTCGAGAATGTGCTCGTGGTAACCGTTCAGTTGACTCAAAGTATGTTCCACGCTGGCCACCGTTCCACCTTCTATATCTGATTAATCGTCGCTCCAATTAACGTTCAACGTTTCGCGTTCCTCATCGTGAGTACTGCGTCATGCATAAAGGGTCGATGCAGATAGCTCGATCTTTTCAGCGAACGATCCATAGTAGGCGTAGTCGATTCTATACTCGATCGATTAATTCCTCCCTTTTATCTACCGGTACTTTGATACAGCTGAACTGGAAAGTAGACTTAATGCACGTTCGATTGTACTTTCGTTGTACACACGGCTGATTGATCGAGCTCTATGCATCGTAGCTATTAGCTGATTTCTTTGTACGACTATTAATCATTACAGTACCGTAACTGTGTTTCTTTAAGATTCCCTTCTTTGTGAGATTGTCTGGTTGCAGATCAATGAAGGAGACGACTTCGTCTGCTCCCGGATACTCCCTGAAAACGTCGATGTAAAGGAACATTTGGTCTCGTTGTCGAATTCGAGGAACGATTCGAGCTAATCATTAAACGAAACGTTCGTAGGTGTTTCTATATATGTATTACATATCCCTTTGTTATGAGGATCATAGATGGATCGGTCCAGATTCCATCGATTCGACTAATATTCCCGTTACACCTTCGAATGTTTCGTCTTCGGCGCGACAATTTTTCGTCGCACGTTTCATTTATGTCTCGCAAAAACTCGTTTCGTCGCGTTCGCGAACGATTTAAACCGGTGAGTAGTCTCGTAGTTATGCTCGCGTTCGTGCTCGTGTCTCATTTTTAATCGAGCAACCAATTTGAAACGCGACACGAACGCGAACGCGACATCGTGTATTTTCCTTATGCTCTGGTCATACGCGGAGAATTTTGACAAAATGTACGCGCGTTTTTCTTTTTCAATTAATTCGTATGTATATGTATTCCCGTTTCTAAATTTATCGAATCCAAGCATGCACGATCGCCGAGTGTAACCAGTCGATGAACGGTATATTGGAATTCTATGTTTGATCCTTTGCTCGCGAAACGCGTGACAGTATGTGTCCTCAGTTCTATCTTTAATTCATTTTTCTTTTTTTTAGACGATTAAACAGCTGCGGTTGGGGTGTTCTACGGATGCGTGTGCTAAAAGTAGCATATGAAGCATGCTCGGTGCAACTTCTTCAATTGCAAAGGATGTCCATACTGGGTGGAACTGGCTGACTGTGCGGCGCATTGGAAAGGAAAAAACCATGCAGTGCCATGTGGTGAAGAGACGTAGCGTGTGTAATACTCTATTCGTGCATTTTACTTTCTTCTAATTGGATCAAGCGCAGCGTGCACGTCAAGGGAATATGGCGGAGTATGATGATTCAGGCTTGCTGAGATTAGAAGCGTGTCGCGGCATATGGGCATTGATTAGAGTTTAGAATCTCACGTTGGAACGAAATACAAGGTATGAACAACAGGCTACTGGTGAAACGTAACGGGAACGTTTGCTTAAAGGCCTTGTCAGTTTCTATGTTGAGGAGGTCAAGATGGGTGAACATGAGCTTGATCTATTCGAAAGTAGAAAGAAAATGAAAGATGCCCACCTCGAACGTTGTACGATTATTTGGGCCAAATGCATCGTGCCGTTATGCGATATTAAAATGTCTTTAACATATCTCTTCAACCGAAAAGTTTGAAGAAAGAAAAAAGAAAAACTGGCGGGTGATGGGCTGGGGGAAAAAAGGGATGTCAGATAAACGAAAAGACCGTTTCTTTATCGTCACTTTTGTGTGTTGCGTTCTTTAAATTGTACAAAATGTATCGCTACTGGCTGCATTCCTAATCAGTGCTGTCAAACGATGTCATAATGTCACAGATTGATTTTACGTATCGTGTGTGGTATCACGGTGTATGTTTGCACGCATGTGTTAGTGTGTGGGCATGTGTAATTAACCCCCGCACGCGAGAGATATCTGCAAAAATTCAAAACATTAGTGATATCTCTCCGCGTGACGACGAGGCAATGTTTGCGACTCATTCCATGAACGGAGCACTTCCTGGTCGCTTGGATAAAATGAAACGAGACAGGACAGCGACACACGGGTTTAATCGAGTTTTCTACACATTGTTGTAACATTCATTGCTTTTTTCGTCAGCTGTATTCGAATCGACCTAGAAGCTGGCCTGCCACGTTAACGACTAGAGCGTGTTCGAGTCCTGAGATCATCGATCAACTATATGGTGACATAACGGCGAGACACATGAGACTTACTTGACTCTTGGCCCGTCTGTGGTGGCGACGATATTCGGGTGTTGAAACATCACGCGCTGGGAGTCGCTTCGGCTAGAAATATACTAATATAGGCATGCCGCGGGTATTTCACCACGAATTTAACCCCTTGCGGTCGGATTCGTGACGATTCTGCTAAAACGAACTACTGTAAGAGAAGCAAAGACAGTGGGGACAAAGAAGAACTTTTCGCTAGAAGATTGCATGAATCGCGTAAAAGAAAAAGAAGAGAAGGATAGAAAAGAAGAGAAGAGAGAAATAAGATTCTGAACGAAAGCTGCAAAATAGAGAACACGGATTATGCACGACCACAAAGGGTTAAAGGTGTCTAGAAAACGCGCAATCAACGGTGTCGTTATTCTCGGTTTCTCATCGACGACGAGTCTTCTTCGTTTTTGCGTCTTTCTTTGATCTTCCTTGAATGGCAATGCACGAGAACGAGATAGAGAAATGAGTTACAAGAGTCGTTCGAACGTGGAAGATGAATTCTTTTTTCGTAAAGATCATCGACATCTCAGAGGAAATACTGCCGCTCGCGTATTCATTGGATTCGTAGATCATTGGATAACGCGTTATGCGAGAATGTTCCAACTTATTTCTATGGTAAGGCGAAAAATCACCGAGTTTGTAGAAGACGTACTCCAACTCTTTTGACTGTACGTTATCAAAGGAATTTCTCATCGCTTTGAGGAGATGCGAATTCATATCCGGATCGAGATTGTAGAGAGAAGATGACTCGTCGCGAAAGTTACGATACATCGAAACACCTATCCGATGAATCAAACGCGGTCGCGTACAAATCGGTGTCTTTCACTCTTTTGAGAAAAATTCTCTTTGCGTCTATAAAAAGCAGCGCGAACTGAATCGCGTCGAATGATCTTGTAGATGTCGAATGAATGCCGTGTGACATGAATTCGTGTGACGCAAAACATTAATGGAAAACCAATGTATAAGTAGAAGCGAGATGTGTCTTTGGCGATCGTTGATGGATCCTTTTCAACACTAGTTGCAGGGGTCATCCCTAGATTGTCTCTTAAAAGCGTACTCCAACACGTACTCTCATGATCTCCAAACTTCCACTCGTGTTAGCCTAGGATCATTGAAACCTTGTTTCTCGTTTCGCCGCCCTTGCTCTCACATATCGTCATATAACGTTTGTCAAAATTTTTTAGGGCAACTGAGAAACAGGTTTGCAGCTTCTGTGCACTCTACGTTTATCAAGAGTGATAGAGTTGCTGCACAGTTTCGTCGTTCGAAGAATCAGCGGATGATCACGTCGAAAGCTTGGACCGCGAGCTCTGAAGCTAGTACGCGATTTAGAATCGATCGGACAGATCTAATTGACGCGACCGGATGTGTTGCTCGAGGTATGTTTAGCCTGATCGTATTAGCTAGATAGGCAACGAAACAATCGTCGTACCTGTAATTAGGCATTCTGTGATAGGTGAGGATCTTGGTGTTCACGTTGTCCAGAACGGCGAGTTCCGGATGATTGTTCCCAGGAACGCTGTTGTAACTCCTCTGCAATGGTTTCTTTATGTACGGTTGGTCGTACTTCTGGACGGTGCTCTTCCTTCTGCGAGAAATTTGCCGATTACGAGGATGCGAGAGTCGTGATCAAGATAACGACATAGAACGATTAGGAAGCGCATGCAAACTACGGGAGGAAGACTTTGAACGAATTTCTTCGTTCGTTCCTTTCGTCGTGAGCCAGGATTATTGACCGTTTTGTTTGCATGTCAAGTGACGTTTATGCAAATGTCTCACCCGAACGAAAAGGAATTAGTCAGCTCCCTTTGAAAAATATCATCGGTGAAATGCGTGCTTGCGATACGCTGTCATAATTATGCATATCGTGTGTCGGGTTTAAACTGTATATATATATACAGTTTAAAATCTCTCCGTGCATGTCGCGAAGAAGCAAGCTATCTAGCTTAATCAGATCACTGTTGAATGTTATACGTTTAATTCGGACATTTTGCACGTATGATTGAATTATCGTGATGAAATGCTTAACGCTAGCAAAGCTGACGCGTCTACGGGGCTTTACAAGGAGTTGTGATGGCATGCATTAGAAAACAAAAATGGATAACCAGTCGAATGGTACACCCGCAGCTGGCCTTACAGCCACTCGCGTGAGATCGTCCTCCACTGCCAGTACCCATCAACCAAATATTCAAAATCAAAGGATAACGTAGACAGACAAAGTATCTTGAGAATCAAGTGAAGCTTAGTAATACGCGTGTGCGTTCCATGGGGGTGAAGATACTCTTTAACTCATTGTCAGTCGATTAGAACGATCAGGAAGTTAGCACTTTTCAACACTCGATCGCAATCACCCTGCTGTAACGCGGCAACCTTTAACCGATACCAATACGTTCAGATCGCTTTCTTCCGATAATCGCGTTTTTTTCTATCTTATCTTCCATATTTCCCTCTATTCAAAATTCATCCGGTTGTTCGTTAAGGATATCAGTTAACGGTTACGAAACACTGAAGCTTTTAGTTACTTGCAGACGAGTAAGTACACGTCGATTAGCCAATTTTTGCGAAAGCGATTCGAATAAACCTATAGATGGTTCACAGCGATGTCTGCTGGCAATCGCTTAAGCTGCTTAGCATAGTCGTAGCAACGATCAGGTTACGTAAGATAAACGATCGCGGTTTTTCCTGTTCGATTAATGATGCTTCTCTTTGGAAGAATACTCGGACACTGTTCGAAATACGATCTCTGTTCGTTGCAACGAGTATCAAATTTTTGCGCGGTTTCGCATAAGCGATGTACTGGACGTTCGTTGCAAGATATTGGCAAAATATTGCAAGATATTGGCAAAATATTGCAAGATAATTGCGGCGCAGATTATGCAGAGCTTTTATCGGATGACAAAAAAGGTACACAGAAAAGAGAAAGGGAAAGAAAAAGGCAGAGAGAGAAAGAGAGAGGGAAAGAAAAAAAGAGAAAGAAAAGGAAGTATACGAAAAAAATAGTAAGCGTAAAAGAGAAAGACAGTAATAGTACGGATTCTAAAAGATATACATGTAAATATATATGTACGACGTGTGGATTAGTAAAGAAAATAAAAAAGACATACATATATATGTGCATATATATACATATATATATACGCATACAAAAGAATTTTCTACGTGTATGTTTCTGCACACTAACCTGAGACAGAGGGAGTAGTTTTTATGTACTACGACTGACCTGTAGCAGAGAGCCATCAGAGCAAATACTATGAAAACACCCCCTACCACCGACATGAGCACAACAACTAAAAATACAGTGTTAGAGCCGTGATAGTTCTCTGTGACGATCAGACGTGTTAGTTAGTTACATCGTTAGATTTTTCATGGTCGTTGGTCGTCATGTGTCAAAGATCGTCGATATCCGATCACGATATCAAGATCGGGTACCATTGTTCACGCAGCGCGGTATACGGATGGTATATTTTTGGTATCCGAGCGTCCCACAGCATGCAGACAGACAGAGACGGCAGTGACAGACAGAAACAGACAAGAAACAGAGAAGCCAGAATCAGTACATATACATATACATAGACGTATTTTCGTTTCACAATGACACACCATTGATCGCATCGACGCGATTTCCGTCAGATTCATTCGACTCATCGCGCAAAGTCTATTCGATAAGACTGGCGTGTACCGTTCTTTCTTTTCACTCCTCTCTAATCCCTAGTTTCATTTCTCGTTTAGACTGAACCTCGGTTTGCTATTTGCACAGACGAAAGTCGGAATCTTCGACAGTTTTGCATCGTGTCTTGCGTTCGAGCCAAAAGACACATTGCTGCCAACTACTTTCCTCGGGTGACATCGACGAAGACACGATTACACGAACTTGTTGCGATCAAACTGCACGATTGGGTAAGTCAGTTAGGTTCTATGAGTAACAATTCTCTCTCAGACGAACCGAGGGGACAACGTTCGTTTCTTCGCTAATCAGCCTTATACATGCTTTCATAGGGCATACAAGCAGCTGGCACATTGGCGTTGTAATGGATCGTGTATCAGACATCGCACTCAAAGGGACGAATACGTTACAATTGGCCTTTCTTATCAACCTTCAACAATGGTCACCGGGATTATACGTCGTGACGGTAATTCTGCTTTCGTCCCTTGGTATGCGACATCAAGTGGAAATGTAGATCCCTCGCTCGTGCAGCATAGTCACGATCATAGTGATCATTCAAACGCGCTATGCGAGCACGAGTACATTCAGAGCACACCATCGAAGAAACAGTAGTATATATGTATAAGTAATTCTACATAAAATGGTACTCCCCACCGAATTTTATAAAATTTACTTTGTAAAACTCGGAATTTTGAACAATTTTCTGCAAAGCGTAAGCTAAGCACCATCACCTGTCTTTTATTTCTATAAGAATATCATCCTGATAATCAGATGGTATAATATAACGTGTGACTTCATGGAAAAAGTATGTCGTATGTTTTAATCAAACACATTACCTTAAGAAAAATTCAAAATTGAAATCCATGGACGCCTGCATTCTCTTCCTATTTGATACAGCCTAACCTAACCTAATTTAACTGGATAATTGTATTAGGTTATACTTAAGCTAATATGACCTAACCAGACATGTTGTTCAAAATGGCGAGTTTTACAACATATATAAGAATGATGGAAATGGATGGAAAGTACCTTTCTTTGCATAATTACTTATATATATAATATATAAATATAAATAAATATCGAGTAAGTAGGCTAAGATGAGTCAATATTATGAGAGCATTTGATGGCCGCGTGCGATGCCTCATCATCCAGCTAGCCACGAATTACTTGACAATGACAGGCGTTGGTCGAACCCACTCAACAACTTTATCTTACTACTGTACCTCTGGCAAATAGCCATTAGTGCAAAAGAAATGAAGACTCCTTTGACCACACCCACCAGGATTAATACCAACGTTCCAGTGCTAAGAGTGTTGTTAGGTGATTCTGAAAGGACCATTACATATTGTAATCTTCGAGTGTCGGTACGTTGCCGTTTTCGAGGGCAGAACGGAACACTTTTATCGTTAATTAGAGGCAATTAGGTTGCAAGGATTGATTCCGCAGGTGTTCCTGAAGAGATTAAGTTAGATAAGTAGACCTATAAAAGGAAAAGCTTGCTCCCAAGATTGTTCCTGAAACGGATTGGAACTATGATTACGCAGATATATCACGATAGATCTTTTTCTATTTTATTCTCTCTATTTTTCTACGTACACTACTGGCCAAAAATTTAGAATCACTAAAGACATTCTTGAGGTAATAAAATTCTTAGCTTCTTAAATATCTCGGTCCTATGAGACGCGTAGCGATTCTAAATTTCCAGTTAATAGAGGGTGCGGGAAAAGTTTTATGCCAATTATTAAGATCATTTATACTTTTTCTGCAAATGTCTAGTATATTAATCCGCCTGTGTCTCTTTTCAGCTCAAGAATGAAAAACGATAATAGAGACTACGTATGAAAGACACCAATATGTTTGAGCCCATTGGATATTTAAACTTCATGGTCAGTCACGAAGATGAAGAAGCCAGTGATGGAGTTGGACTTGACTTCCGGATTTCCAAAAAAGGTATTGAGAAAGTATAATTTGCAAAGTAGTCAATTTTGAACACTTAATGTAATGCGTGTGTACTGTTCCATTCTGTTCTTATTAACTCGATCAACGTCGTAAAATTTGTAGATTATTACATTTTAAACCTAGCTTAGCTACAGAAAATATTTAGATATGAATATAAAAAGGACGAGGACTGTTACCACACCCTATACATCGATCTGCGTAAGCTTAGTCCAGGAAGGAGCATAAAAATTATACACATATATTACGAGTGAAGTGGATCACGACGATTTCTACTTCGACAAAGTTTTGAATCATTCGATGACCAACATTCAAAGATAACCAGCAAAAATTTCCATTCGGACTTCGTAATCCATTTCACTGGAGATTAGACTCAGACAAAGTTCCCGATGAAGGCTCGTTGCACCGTTGCTATGGGCACGTTCTTGCCCAATAAGGGTCGCCATGGAGTGAAGTTAAAGTCGTTGCGAAGCGTTTACCTGTAACGTGCGAATATTCTTTTCTCTCTCGAGAGGAATTTCGGGAAAGGTCGGTGAATCGAAAGTGGAAAAGTGTAATCGAGTAAAACACATCGGTCCCGCATACACATATATACGGGAACGTATTGAATTTTATGTGCACAGCTGATGGTATGGCCCCAAATAATCAGGCGGCTATCGGGTATCCCGCTGGGGATAAGGGACGAGTCTTCGTCTTATCGTGAATTAGAGACATCTAAACGATAGCAGAGTGTCTGCTTCTTCTTCGGATACAGTAGAATTTCGATTATCATGGTCTCCGGGTTCCTTCGAGTCAAGCATTTTCTTTGGATGAACGGGCTATCTTGCGCTTTATTTTGTCGAGGTGCGTTTTATCCTATCTTTTATGTCAACCACAATGGAAATATGTCGATTCGTGTGCGAACCTATCTTTCTTTCCTCTTTTAAGCCTAGAACTATCAAACCGTTTGAAACGTCTGGTTTTAAACGTTTTATTCCTGTAATTTCTGCAAACGCGTACTTATATTTAGGCAGAATAAGCGACTGTATGCGCCTAGCCATTTGTATTACACTTCACTTCGATTATTATCGTTCATATATAGGATATTTAGTTACATGTTACAGTTTGGTAGTTCTAGTTTTAATATACGGATGTAATTTGAAAAATCTATCATATCCTGCAATCAACAGGTATCCTTATTCTACGTTTTCGTTTCCTATCGTGAGATTACAAGGTACAAACGTGAACTATAAGGAACCGAAGCGTGTCGTTGACCCGACTACTCAATTTCGATTATAGTTAGCCTCGAATTTCTCGCTTAGCTCGAAATTATTCTAATTCGGCGAATTTCAATCGAACTTTTGCGAATCGCAACTTACCGTAGGGGGTCTCTTTCTTCACTAATTTAGGCTTTGAACTATTTTTACCAGCTTCGATGCTAGGTGTTTTTGGCGGGAAAGTTGGAATATCTTGCTTTAAGGAGCAATCTGTCCCATTCCATCCGAGGTTGCAGTAGCACTTATTCATGTTTGTGCACACCTGCGAAGCCAGACATATATTTCGATTGGAATTCGCATATTCGGGTGGGGTTAGTCCATGATGTAATGTCTGCTTACGCCATTGCCCGAGCATTCAATGTTGCCGTGATTGGTAGGACATTTCTCATTGTCTATGAGAGAGTAGAGACTCATGCACGTTTGGTTCACGCATATCTGCAACACACGAATTAAGCTGTGTTAAACATGCAGGCCAGTTTACGAGCTTTCTTGCCATTGTCCTTGTTTGCTAAAGTCAAGCTATATCGAAGGCAAACAGCTTTGTTGCTCCATGATACCACCCCGCGTAACTCTAAATGGTTGCTCTCGACTTTGCATAATCCGATTTATAACAACGATAATCACTGTGGAAACTATTAATGTACCAGGACCAAAACAGAAAATACACTTGCGGGATTAGGTGACTTACCAAGTTGTCTCCGCAGGATGTTCCATCGCGAACCAATCCCATCTCGGGCAGGTTGGATCCTACCACTTTCCCAGTCGTAGATCTATGCCAAGATCGATACGAAATGCCAATTAGAATTCTTAAAGGGAAACTACGGTGACTCTACTTAACCCTTTACCCTCGAGAGGAGACTCTCAGTCGCCATTTAATTAAATTCTAAAAATCGATGTTAATTAATATATCAAATTTAAAATTACCTAACGATGAGTGGAATCTGGAAGTAAAATAATTCTACGTCTTAATTTGCATATGATTTCTTATTTACTATTTTTAAAATATCGTCGACTTTATGACGGAAAGTCTTCGAATTACTATTTTTCGGTAACGAAAAAATCGTCTAGTGCAAGGGGTTAAATATCGCGTATGGTTACTATACATTTGCTCGCAATTGGTGTCATTGAACCGATAGTTTTGTGACACGTTAAAATTAGTTATTTGTAGCTAGTAAAAATTTTATTGGATACTCCCAGTTTGGATTTTTCGAGGTTAGAAATTTTATAAGATATTTGTTTCATCTCGCAGCACACGCAAACTAATTATTAATATCCTAAGAGAATGTATTATACTTTTTGTCCATATGACAGGAGGAAATAGATATAATTTTGGATGCTGTCATTTCTTAATTCGTCAATCTGGGGAAAAAAGTCAGTATTTGAACTAAATAGCGAGAAAAACTCGTGGCCTAAAAATTATTGTGACTCGCATTAACTGATTAGAAACGTCACTGCAATATAACTCGAACGAATGAATATCATGGAAATTTTGAACCTTGTAAAGATACGTGTCTCCTTTAATACGAATCACTATAGTTAATAACACGAAATCCTCTTACTTGCACTCGTACTCCTCTCCTTTCATCGAGATTATAGTTCTCGAATGATCTATCCCGAGTATCGATAGTTGCTTGATACCTCGCTGACATTGCAATGATCCACAACGAACATTCCTGAGGAGTGAAAAGAATAAATTACTTTCTGCGAGAAACTTATCTCCACATACAGTGTGTCTATTTTAATTGAATTCACTGGAACATCTTAAAAGAAATCAGAAACGTGGAAAAATATTTCCACCATAATTTATCGATATAACTGATAAGATAATGTGAAGATTTCAAAGCTAATTGGACAAAACAGATTTATGGCAATAAACTAAACTTTTGCCTTCGAATATATTTCCAATCCCACCCGAGATGTTCCATCGACTTCGTTCAAAATGGACACACGGTACACGCAAACTCGCTTCTACTCACTCCAACTCGCATTTCACATAGTGACCAGAAGAGTTAGTGCCACAGTGTCCATTCAGCGAGCCTTGAGAATTGAACTGTTCGAAGCACTGTTGGTCCGCAGCGACACCACCGTAGCCCCATATTTGCTCGCACTGAATGTCCAACGACGGGCAAATGCCCTTATAGCAGTACGTAGTGTTGTTCGAGCAAGGGATGCCATTCTTCTTGTAAACGTCCGCTGGGCACTGGCCGGACTTTCCGGTGCAGACTTCCGGCAGGTCGCACTCGTTCGTCGACTCCCGGCACAGCACGCCGTGAGCGAGCAGCTGGATTTTTCAAAACCCCCCAATCGGATTAAATCGGTGCTACAGAGGGCGCGATTACTTATGCTCTACACCGACTTTGCTAATAAGGTGTTCCTGTACTTTCTAGTATCACCACTGCGAGAGGACTCGTGTGTAGGTGTTGGACACGCGACTTGGAAAAATCCTGCCCTTACCGTTAACCACTTGCGCTAGAAAAACGTGCCACGCACGTCGAGATGCTTTTGTTCCAAAATTGCCAGCGACGTGTACACCACGTCGATAGGCATTTATCGCAGAAATAAAAATGACGTGGACTGCACGTCGGCTAACAACCACGACGTCGCATAGATTATTAATTAATAAAATGTTATTGTTGTCGCGAGTATTCATTCATATTCGTGTAAAATTCTTTACGTAAAACCCTACCAACGCGCTGAGGCGCTGTTTAAGGGTTGCACTCGCAGACACGGTGCGGTGTCAATGTGACACCTAACCGCGTGTTATACTGTAGCGCACGGCACAGCAACCGTGAGTTTATTGGTAGCGCAAGTGGTTAGGTTAGGTTAGGTTAGGTTAGGTTAGGTTAGGTTAGGTTAGGAGCGGCACGTGACACGTTAAGTGCCACGCCGGTCTTTAGGGAGCGGTGCTAGACTCTCCGTTCGGGCCCGATCGGTTCTCAGAGACCGGTCCAGACTAGGACCAAAAGGTGCTAGCTTTAGGTGTTAAATTCTTCGCCATCTTTGGACCTAATGTTTAGGAATTCTTGTTATAACAATTGATACAGTATCTCCGAGTTTTATGAACACTTAGCCCGCTGCCGGTGGCCCACTTGACGGTCAAGTCTGGGCCTGAACGGAACAGCAAGCAGAACGGGCTGGGCACTTAACGTGATAAGGATCATTGGACAAGTTGGACCTACCCTTGCGGGAAGCAGCTCACTTGGCCGAGCCTCCAGGTTGTCCAGCAACCTGGAGCCTCGTTACCAGCGGGGTTCACTAGGAGACGAAGCTGTCAGTTTTCGCTCAGGTTGGCGTTTGCCGATAATCCTGCACCGGCTCGGTATCTGTTGGCAGATACTGCTTGCTGTTACGGTCACAGGTCTGCTACAGAGGGTCAACGCGATTTCGCGGAGGAGAGATCTAATCTGGCTATCTATTTACCCTCCTCTGGTAAATATAGAGTCCCTATACATGCTGTCCGCCGCCATTTATCGACGCGTTTATCGTACTCGGGGCTATCGGGCACGTACATCTCTTGGCCAAAGAGAGCAGGACCGTTTCAACGTATCCAAGTTTCGCTCGCGATAGAACTGGCCCAGTGTAAGGTGACGTGATACTTTACCTTGCAATCGCTGCAGCATGGACCGGTCGCGCATTCCGCTTCCGAGGTGAGCTTGCAAGTGATTGGATCGCAGCATGGGTCGAGCTTGTGACACTCCGACACCGTTCCGCAATCGCATTGTTCCCCTTCGTCGATTACCCTGTTTCCGCAAGTCTTCTTTATTTCCACCTGTAGTTCGGGAAATCGGATGAGAAAGAGTATTTGTATCCGTGACTAGGGAGGCTATGGCGGGAATTAGGGCTGTATGCGCGAGAGGCAAAGGTGAACGTTGACTTTTCACTTTGGACTATTCTTCCAGAACGAAAAGTGCGAAGTTGCTTTCACTTGTGTGGAATACAAGATGAATACTGGAAGTGAACAATGACAGAGATGTAGAGGCTTGATGTATTCCTAGCGAAACGAATGGATGATTCGTTCACATTGAAACGGTAGATGACGAATGGGTGATTGATCAGGGTACTATACACTGGGTTGCGATTATTCCCGATATTTCACGTTCATCGTAGTCGAATTCATCCGAATTCACCCATTGAACATGCGTAAATACTGTAGCTTTCATCGTGGATGAATCGTCTGCGATGATCAGTACATTCGTCTCGAGTGTCATTGGTCGGAGTGAAATTTCGAGGAGCTGGTAATCAATAGGGTGAGTATCCACTAAAAAAGTAAAAGTCTGAGAACCGGTGAACTTTGAGATTCACCATAGAGAGGTTACGAATCATAAAATTTAGTTTTCCGAATTTTATACTGTTGGACGACACTGTGAATCCGTGAATTTCCTGCAGAGTGACTATCGAATCCGAGGGAATATTCGAAATTAGCTCAGGACGCAACGAAGTGAGGCAAGAAAGTTTCACGAAACGTCTGAGAGAGATGGGAAAGTGTTGGACAAAGTTTTCACAGTCTCGTGACTTGATTTTCGCGCGCTGACGAAGATGAAGGGGACGGTTCGTTTGGTCGGCAGAAATCCTCTTAACTAGATGTTGTCTTACCTCGTTTGGTTTATTTAAAAGACAGGAACCTTTGCCGTTTTTTAACATGTCTGCGTAATCTGCTTTACTACAATCGGAGAACGTGTACGGCTGAACGTTTTCCAAGCCGACGATCGATTGAGCCATGATGCACCCGTGCCATTCGCGACAGAAACACTCGCTTCCTGGGAAGAATTCCGTTCGAGTAAATCATTTCTGGTGTTTTAATATTCCGTCGGGCAAAAATTTCGAATCACTAGTATTTATAGGTTGCGACTGAATTTTTCTACCGATTTCTATATGTTCAAATTACGATCCTCATCTTCGGTGCAAAATAGAGTTTCTGGCCTAGTAAATTTACACTAGGATGATCAGATTTTTCCGGATTTGTCCCTAGATTTTATTATTTTTCGAACCATCGTGTGTCTCGAATTTTAAATATTCGTAATTTATTTAAAAGAAGATACAAATTTATCCCAGTCAAAAATATAATAAAATGTAATCATAATAATCAAAATAATATCATCGGAAAGCTGTTTTTTCTCTACAATTTCAAAATCGTAAAGCAAGCAAAGTGACGTGATATTGTAACTTGCGGCTCCATCGATCTAGCCATCCTAATTTACGCGAAAAAATAAATCGAAAATATGAAATGACGTTTTTTCATACGTGGCCTCGTTTCCGAGAAAATCGGCTATAAATTTTCCGTGGGTATGCGTGTGCTTGACTATGCCTTTATTTAATAAATATCCCCGCGAATTTATCGTCTCCATTCAAATTTATATTTATCGCATTGGGTAATCAGAAATATGCAATAAATATCCAATAAAATAATGGCAACAAAAAGAATGAACTTTTCCCGTTCGGATTTTAAATAAAACAAAGGATGCGAAATAAGTATTAATAATTTTGCACATATAGAATGAATAATAAATATTTCATTCCTTTGCGTCGTATTTTATACGTATTACAGGTTTCACGAGTATAATTTTTCCATGAACATATTTCAAATAACCGAAATAGGTTTTATTGTCTGTGTAATATTTTATTTGCCATTTTATAGGAGGACATAAATTTTCCAACGGGTCATAGTAAATGGAACTATAAACAGCGAAAAGTAAAACCGAGCATAGAGCTCAGGTTCGCTTCGTATCGTAATCTCAGAAAGAATTGAATAGGAAGAGATATTGAAAAGTTGATCGAACGTGTATCACAAGAAAAGTCACTTCGATTAAATACCAAATTTTTGATCACAAATTTGAAAATCGAGCGTTGCACAGGCCAAAGTAATTAAATCTTGGAATTTTTTAAGATTCAAGTGGCAGACGGTTCGATTAATATTTAACACTAGATTTACGGAACCCGTCAATTTGACGAAAGAGTTGCTCCAATTATACGATGGTAACAGATTTAATATAAAATATAAGTTAACTTATATTAAGACTGTTAATATAATATATAATTGTCCTTAAATTAAACTAATCGTTAAAAAAAAAAGGCACGTGGTTTCCTTTATCTGTCAATTTTACAGGTATCCTTAGAAATAGGTATACATATAGCGTCCGTAAACCTAGTGTTAATCGACTTCTCATGTTGAAAATAAACCTCCATTTTTGCTTCATGGGGGTAACCAATCTAGCAAATGAACCGGTCCATTTAACCGGTCATGGTAGATCCACATATCGATATCAGTATCGATAAGAGAATTTTCAAAAGTAATCAAAATTCGAAACCTTTTCCATGATTCGAAATTTTTCACCAGGAGCGTAATACTCGCGAGATAGAGACTAACTTCCATCGTCGTGTTTCATGCCGATATTGTGGCCAATCATGTGCGCCATAGTACCAGCTAGGAGATGAGGCTCGTACGTGTTCAAATCGACGCTGATCCCTACGGATTTTTTTCCGCACATGGTCGAAGGTGTGGCCATCCCCGATTCTTCACCGGAGAACGTTTCGCCCCTGCATTCGGTAATCGAATATCGATCTCGAAATTTCCTCGGAAATCACCAGATGCAACATTTCGATACTCACGTGAATAACTGGGCGGTATCGTGTTGAATATGAAACATATTTCGCACCGCGTAATCGAGTAAATTCTCCAAAGCTTGATTGATATCCATGCCCGTACTGATCTGTACCTGGTTCTTGCCTTGCCAGGTTTCGATGTATACGACGGAGATTCTAGTCTTTAACGCGCGGAAATACTGTGGAAAAGAGGATCAGAGAAAGGGGATTAATTGAAACTCGTGTTTAGAGTCTGGTTACGCGTCCAGGCTATTCTGCACTCACCATATCCGCGATATTGGCGACTTGGATGGCATCGTGAACGACCTCGGCTCTGGTGCTACCGTTCCTCTTCTCGAACTGGACAGGGATAAAAATAATATTCTCGCGAGCATGTGATATTTTCAGATCGAGTAGAGATCGTGGATACATTTAGGGGAATTTTTATCTACGACAATTGCAATCGTTCCTTCGTACGGGGATATATAACCGGCATGATGCTTTTACTAGGTAGGTCAAATGGACGTGCAGTGCACCGCAAAATGGCGCCCTGCGCTGTGATCTTCAGTGTTTCTTGGGACTAATAATCACGTTACGATCGAAAATAGAAATTAATTGATAAATAGTAGCTTTAATTAGCCAAAATTAATTTCAACTACGGCTTCCAGTTATAGGTTAGCTTTGATTAGTTAAATCTTCAGTTAACCTATGCAGTTAGTTAAAGCTAGGTTCTCACTGAACAAAATGTTACTATAATTGTAAAATGTAGTGCACCTTGAAACAACGTCTTTGTGAAAGGAAACCTTTGTAATTGAATATGTCGTGTACATAGTGCTTGTACATGGTTATTACTAGTTTTCCCTAGTTAGAAATACCTAGTTAAGATTAGCTAAGGACGAATTTTAACAGCGAGGATATTCCATTAATATTATTTCAGACAATTTAAAATTGTTAATAATCGAATTACTTTTTCACAATATCGGTATTGATTAGTAGCATTCATTTTTGTTCTTAATTATTTTAATTGAATTTGTTTCACCTACGGGCCAAGGATCCATTACATATTCAAAGATATCATAATAGTAAAATAAATTGAGTATATCATAAGACTAGAATAATTTCACTCTCTATGTTTCTTTTTAATTTTATAAAATGAAAGTGAATGGGAATACCATAATTCTAAATTACTAACACTTTAGCTGCATAGATACCATACGTGACTGCCTAGTTAAACTATATAAGACCCGTACTATCTACTAAATAGTATAGAAATTCGTTTAAACAACAATAACATGAAAACTATAACAAATGGCGGATAAATCTGAAACCAGATATCAAAAATAAAAATATAGTAAATATTTACTCATATCACAAGCTACCAAAATGGTATCCGTGTACTAAAAGCATATTTCAGATACCTTTTGTCTTTCACTGTCACTAAAAGTTGAAAAATAAAAGTTGATCAGTTTCCCTATGATATTCAATACCTATCCTAATTTTTTATTTATTCTAATCAAACTGGTATTCAAAATATACTGCTCTTCCCGTATACCACCTAGGAAGTAACTCTAGAAACACTGAAAACGATATCACTTTATCACACACCGTATACTTCGAAAGGAAACGAATTTCGTTATTTCTGAGTCATTCTGATTCTTCCCTTTTCCAATAATTTACCACGATTCATCCTCCGTCTTACAACTTCTCGCCCCGAAAGGGTTGAAACCGATCGTATCGATTCGTTTTACGTTCCGGACATTCGATAGCAATTATCGTTGAATTACGCGAAGCGTGAACACGCGGGGATAGGGGACGTGCGAATTTAGATCCCCACGAAACTCGGTGGAACGACGTGGTCGTTTCTCTAACGATTATGACTATGATTGGCACACCCTTGACTCCCCGTAGCTTTCGGGAGAGCCCGGCGAGCGTGGACGAAGCGGGAAGGAGAGGCAGAAATACAGTACGAGTGGAATAAAATTATCATACCATGGCCTTATCGATAATGATGGCAGTTTCGACGAATTTCACTACTTCACGGACGTCTCTCTTGTATCGATCGGAAGTGGTCTCCGATAGCCCCAGAATGTGCTTCTGCCGGCGGTTCTTTGAACGCCACTCATAATTCTCCGAGATAGCGCAGCCTCTGTTAGCCTTTGTTCGAGCTTCGAATATAACGTGAGGATGTTTCTGCTAAAAGAGAGGTCTGCATATAGTTAACATTCTCCGTGCTGCCCGCCTTTTAACGCCCGTTCCTCTATTCGATTATGGCTTATACAGGCAGAGCGCGGGCTTTTTGTTCCCGCATCTGCGCGAGGATTATGACCTACTATCGCGTCCAACTTTTTCTCGGTTAATTGTTATACCAGCATTTTAAAGAATCACCGAACCCTCGCGCGTCCCGAATCCGTTCACCTTTCGATTCGTTGTAGACCCGATCATCGATGCGTGCCATGGCGAGCCGAATTTGAGCGAAGAACCAAATGTTTCGCGGTTTGCAGACGGTGATACATTTTCGCGATGTATCAATGCATCTGACGACTCGTCAAACACGTAATTCGTGTAAATATTTACAGTACTACCCGCTTTAGTGTCCGAAATTTTGCCCACTTTGGCGTCCATTGCTGTCCCTATCGATTCTTGGAGACGTGACTTTATGCTGACCGATTGCGAGATAGACAGTCGGATGAATTGATCTTCTTCGATCTTCTGTTATACAAACACATGTAGATTATTGAACGCTTCGTTAGAAACTTTATTGCAACTCTGATGCAATACTAGAAAATAGATCAGTGATATCGATGTTCAGTTTGCTTGCGCGAGCCAAGTTTACTATTTGAGGTTATGAAAGTTATCGATGTTAATTTCTACCTGGACCCTCAGTAAGAGAAGCTTTGAAGGAGAAAATGAGTTGTGAACTTCGAACAGAGGTAAATTTCAAATGGAACATTAGAGTTTCGTAGTTTTGTTTACAACTTTTCATTAAAGCGTTAAATAACCTATATTTATATAACATATATAAGCGTAATACAGTTTAGATGTGTAGAATGTAGTATAGATAGACAGAGTTTGGCTTAAATTTAGGACACTCAATTGGTCTAAACTTAAAGCCACGTGTTATATCGATGCACGAATCGCGAAATGTATCAGTGTCTGTGGGCCGTTTCAGGTCGGCTGCTTCTACGAGACGCGATGCGACGCGGGAAATTGTATTTTTCCCCCTTTTTCTCTTCTTTTTCAGCCCGCCACGTTGTTACTTCGAGATCTCTTCATGAATAATAATGGAGGCACAGCTCATGCATATAAGAAGAACGTCCCCACTTAACTCGTCTCGACCAAGCATACAGGGTTTGCCTCTGCTTTTCTATTCCCCATGCCGTGCGGAATTTTCGAATAAACGTCAACGTTGATTTCGTTCCGGTTATTTTCTCGGCTAACTTCCTCTTATATTTAACGCTGGCCTTCTCTCGACGAAGGCAAACGCCGGCCAGGAAATGTTACGCGTTGGTAGCTCGGTCGAAGACAAAATGGCGGATACAGGGAGTCATGGAAGTACTCGCCAGCGTCCAGCTGAAGATTTTCAACGATCGTTGCTCGTTCATGACGCTACTCTCAAGATTATTATTTACAGGGACAGATGATATAATAGGAACAAATTTCCGGTCGTAAAAATTGGTATTTGAATCGCCATATTTCGGGTTAAATTTCATGGCAAACGAAAGGTTTTGGGATACTAATGTCAGAAATAGTTTACGTTCGGTATGTGCTTAGTTTCGGGAATGCAGATGGCTAAAGTTGCTACTATCGACCAACAGATTATAGCAGAAATTTTTATATCGAATTTCGGACTTTTAGTTAGTGTAATAACTTTCAGTTCTATCTAGTAACAATCTAAGCTTAGATTTAGATATTCGAGATAGTTAGATGGGCTAGCTATCGAACAGTTAAACATTTGAAGGTATGGTACCGTTAATTCAGGAAAAATCTAGGAAATGTCGAGTCTCGAGTAATTTCAAATATTCAAATTTAAATTCAGCTAGTAGAATTATTGATTATAAACTATTTATTCGTTCGTCAATAGCGGCTATTTTAACTCTCTGTACTGAACATGAAACTTTCTTGTGATAAGTGACTCAGTAAACTTTTCGTTTGACACAAAATACATTAATAAGTTCGAAAACTGTATAAAGGAATTAATTTTAATCAGCCATTATATATCTATTGCCAAAAATTTTAAGCGTATGAGACACGTTGAGTATAATTCTAGTCCCATGACGTTCTTTACTCTCCAGGTTACTATAATTGGTACCATATTGATACCACAATGTTACTGTGATAGACATGTACACCTATTTTAACTCTTTGTAATCGACCATTGCTTGGCGATGCTTGGATAAATGGAAAAAGGAAAATGGCGAGTGTAAGTTGCGCGTTTTGGCAGTGAAGTTCGCGACGAATCAACCCCGCCATTGTAACTTGGGGGGTTAAGAACGAGTGAAAATGCTCGGCTAGAAATTAGGGAAAACTTCCGGTCCAGTGATTCTCCTTGCCCAGTGAGCCATCAGGTAAACGTAGAAACAGCTGTGCCGAACAACGACAACGACAGGAGCTAGGGAATTTAGCGCGCCGGCAGCCGATTACTCGTTTACGAGTCGAGCCGGCTTGATAGCGGCTTAACTCGATCCTCTCGCTTCGTCTGCCGTGCTAACGAAACTGGATCGAGTGGCCCGGCTTGTTTGCCATCCCCGAAACAGCCGTTGCTCGGCATCACAGGATCCAGTCAAACATTCGCAGTCTCACCAGGACCCTCTCTGTCCACACTGGACCTTGGACAGCCCATCAGCCCCTACGGGTATATCCCCGTCTTCCCTGCACATTTTCCCGAACGTTAATCGAATTTTCTCTCATGACAATGTAGCAAATTAGTTTCCACGGATGAAATTCTATATGTCCTTCTTCGAGACACCCTCGCGAGCAAGGATTAACCCTTAGCACACCATAGAACGGGATAATCGATCTTTTTTAAGAGCATTCTTCAGTTTATATGACTATAAATCTACAGTACGAGACAAGTACAGTAGCACATCCTGTAGTTTTCAATGTTTCTTCAATTAACCATAGTTTACATTCCCTTTTACAATTGTTTTACTTGAGAAATGATAGCACAGGTGTCAAAGAGACAAAAATATCAATGACATTTTATTTTTCATAAGTGGATATCCAAATCTGGAAGCAAAAACTGCTTACCATTTTAGGTTTATGAAATAAATATTCAATGTTTCTTGAAACTAATTCAACGTATGTCTGGTCCTTAATAGTACAGAAGAATATTAAGTATAGTTTTCATTTCTTTTGCAATTGTTTTACTTGTTTATTTGAGAAATGATAACACAGGTGACAAAGAAACAAAAATATCAATGAGATTTTATTTTTCAAAAGTGGAAATTTGAATCTGGAAGCAAAAACTGCTTACCATTTTAGGTTTATGAAATAAATATTCAGTGTTTGTTAAAACTAATTCAACGTATGTCTGGTTCTTAATAGTACAGAAGAATATTAATTATAGTTTATATATGTTTCGTCAAGTTTTACTTGTTTGCGTGAGAAATGGCTACGACGAAGTGAAAGCACAGGTGCCAAAGAAAAGCAGATCAATGAGATTTTGTTTTTCAAATTGGACATCGAAATTGGAATCTGGAATTTGGAAGGAAAAGCTGATTACCATCTTGGGTTTATGAAATAAATAAATAAAAAGAATCGATTCTTCCTATTTTCACGAAAATATTCTGAAGATAGTAATTTTTTCCCAAAATCTTTATCAACTGTTTTGCATAGTACTGACCTTCCACTGTAAAATCAAATTAGATTTATAGTCAAACGATTTTTTTTTACGAGATATACCGCTCTGAAGTGATTCGATAAATATTGAAAATTATAGCGTGTACTATCGTTTTGTTTCATACTATAGTTTGCTTTAAAAGACAGCAATGAATTATCGAGTGTACAATAGTTTCTCAATGAAGTGGAAGTTTAGAGATTGTTAATGGTTGCAAGTTGACTGTTTATGGTTTGATAGTACGAAGTAGCATAGTAATGAATTAAATTGAATTTCTTTAATTATTTTAGTCATTAGCAAGCTAAAATGTTTAACCCCATTTTATGAATTTTTCCAAATTTTCGTAACGAAGTACTCGATTGGTATTAATCATTCCATGCTTAAAATAAATTTTCACTTTTGTTCACTACCAATTATTATGAACAGAATAAATGACACCTATACTACTATAGTATAATACAATAATAAACTAAATTAAAAGAAAATCGAGAAATACAGATTCAGGAAAGTATCGATCCTAAGCATTTCATAGAAGAAGGTAATGGATGCTCTTTCCTAACTTAAAAGAAGGAAATTCTGATCGATAATGGCTCCTTAATGTAATTTAAATTTGGAAATTGATAATTATTGTAAATATACTATTTATGGTAGCAATTGTATTATCTTAATAGTAAAGTGATGACCAAAATTAAATTTAAAATTAAAATCGAATTTCTTCTCTTGTTAAAAGGAAGAGATTTCGAAAGAAATTATACTTATGGTGCCAATAGTATAATTTGATAAATAAACGAAATAAAAATTAAGAAATAATCATGGAATTAGTGATTAACATACTCAATACTGAATATGCTATTATTACAATTATAACACATATTTGAATCCTGGATCTACATTTTTGAGCAATTTTAAATCGATATATATATATATATAATAAATTCTTGTCAAGATAATCAAATCGAAATTGAATAAGACAGACGATTGAATTAACAACAGGGTTGTTGATTAATGTGACATTTTGACAGATGAATATTGACCTCTTTTGTGCAGCCGGTGACTATGTACATATATAGTCATCTTTAGCAACGGAAGGGTTAAATCCACCCCGAGAAAGAGATCGTCGTCACACGACGAATCGAGTTCGAATATGTGACGAATAAATTGCAATACTGTATTAATTGCAGTCGTTTTCGAATTATTTTTAATTTCTTTATTTTTATTTTTATTATATATCTTCATCGTACCACAGGTACGAATTATTGTATATATAATAACACTGTGCAACAAATTTTAATTTTTTCGTAAATCTGTGATATCCATTGGGTGGTTCTAAAAGAGCTTACCTCTCTGAATACTAATCCGTAAACGAAGTGATTCTATCACCCTCGGTTTTCGAAAAATACGAGTTTCCCTAAAAACACGTAATTTTTGGCTAAAACGAAGGATTACGTGAAAATTGAGGAAGTTAGGAGGGTCAATCTTATTTTAAAAGATAGGGGAGAGTTTCCCGAGTTTATCAATACCCATAATTATAATTATTCGGGCTTTTGAATCATTGCAATTTATCATCAAAGATTAAAAATAAGCCACCGAGAGCAATTCCTACGCGACATTCTTATTTCTCCAAACGTTTGCCGCGATATCTCCAGTTCTAGTTAACCGATCAGCATAAAATTTTGAGGAAATATTCAGGACACGTGTGCTTATTGTTCCAACAAGGATTTTCAAAATTTGATAATTTTTCCTATTTTTTACTATTTTTTCTAACTTGCTCAATATGAGGAAACCACGAAAAAAGATTATTCGAGTTTGAAGTGCCGTAAAATTTTTAATTTTCGATATTTTCGAACGATTTCAGTTTCGACTGTAGCTACATTCGTACTGAGTAAAAGGCCTTTTGATCTTTTCATTTCTGATGAATATAACGGTCGGAATCGGGATAAACACGGAGATACTTTTTCATTGAAAGCCTTTACTAGACTACCTGAAACTCTCGTAATATTTTATATTTTTCTATAAAACAAAATATGGATAATTCTAAAAAATATAGCTACCAACATGGGTTCCAATTAAATACAAACAAAATATCACGTTTTGAACAAAAATTTTCAATAATCGATCAAAAAGTTCGGATCTAGAAGGGAACAATTTACAATATTATATACAGGGTGTCTTATAACAAGATACACGCGAAAAGAAAATAAAAATTTGAATATTTTACTTTCCTTTATCCAAATTAAAAAATAGTATACTTCTAACAATAAAACTTATTCATAGACAATGCAAAAATTTCTGTCGACGTCTCTGAATGACTATACCTCGGTATGCTAAGGGTTAAAGAACGTGAGAATAATCAGAATAATCAGCATGTACAATTTGGAACGAATTCCACGTGAAATTTCTTATTCAATTGTCACGAATGAACTGTACCAATTTAATAATTTTATCTTATTTAAAATAATTCGTTCGTAAAACTGCAGGATCTTGAAAAATGCAGACGATTGAAATGCCTGTTAGGTGCAACCCTCTGTGTAAATCTGTTCGTAATAATTTCACGATCAAATGAGCTCGACATCGGGATGAAAGACGCGCGCAGGTTCGGTGTCTAGTGAAAATTCGTATGAGTAAACTGACCGATAAATCGCCGCCGTAAAATGGATGAATGACGAATGTCTCGTTGCCTAAGTGAATAACACCGCTGACACCGTCACACGTGTGAAAGGCAGCGATAGCTCCTGGATAGTCCCTCACGGTACCGTGATAGTAGCATTGTTCTATCTCCTGCAACCATAACGTCGCGAAACCACGTCAGTGAAAAGTAAAAACCAGTGAAACTTCAGTTTTCTGCGATGAACGGTTTCGAATTAGGCATTCTTATTTCACTGTATATTTAAAAACACGTGTGTGTCATATTAGAAATACGTGTTCTCGCGAATTACTTCAAGTACGTTTAAGGAGGGATCCTGGTGGAGAATGCTAAAACCATGCGTACTTTGGGAATTTTTTCCAACGAAAGTATTTATTTGATCATTCTGAAAATTACGACGTTTTATTAAGTAACTATAGGAGTACCAAAAGAATATTTTTTTTATTTTAAAATAAGTTAAAATTTGAAGTTGTAAGAGCGTATGAATAGCGCCTCCATAACGAGATTTGAAACTTCAGGTGACTGAAGTTTCTCCCTTATTTGACCAAAATAGGAGTACAAACAATTTTCTTCTACTCTCTATGAGTGTAATTAATCGACGAACTTTTGAAAATTTGGAAAAATTGGAAGTTGTTAAAATGAGGTAACATTGAAGAAAGAATCGATATTTTCGCAAAAATTTTACGTTTATTTATGTAAAAAAGATTGTTTAAATTATTTATTTTGTTTAATTTTTAGGTTCATCGACTAGTACATGTATTATAGTATGTATATGTAAAATTTTAAGTGAATTGGTAACCTGGTTTTTGAAATATCATTCCTGGCAATTTAAAAAATGTGGTTTCGAGAAAAATTGCACTGAAAATTTAGGAATATATTTTATAAATATCGTACTATTGATTAAAGAAATAAAAATCGATCTTTTCGATCTACACCAGGATCTCCCCTTAAATGCACGTGTTTCGATGTATTTTTATTTCGATTTATGTCATTTTTGAGAACAAGTATAAAAATAGGTAAGCAGGTTTAAAAATGTATTGAAATATGATTTTTATTTAAAAAATTGATTCAATAAGTTCCTTGTTTTGATATAAAAAAAAAAAATGATGTTTCAATGGTCGACTTCTACCGAGAGCAACTGTGTTTCCAGCAGTGGAGCAATTTTGAGAGATAATCGATATTAGCATGCTTAACCTCGTAAGGACCGAATTATTTCAGAAAAATCGGTCAAAAGTTTTGAAATTTTATCACATTTTTAAAACACGAATACACGCGAAATAAACTCGGTAATTGTACATAAATTAAGGCTACGTCTGCACAGAATGAAGGAAATTTCACGTAAAATCGACGGTCGTTAAGGGGTGAAATGTTCCACTAGTTCCGGAATTCTCCGATATTGCATAAATCTCAGATGTCTGTTCAAAGCTACTGCAGTATCATCAAATTGCATTACTGTTTAGCCCGTTATTTTGTACCGAATATAGAGAAAAATCTGAGGAACCAATCCTGTGGTTGTAAAATTCCAATTCGAAACTCAAATTCTATATTTCCAAAATAATTACACGATATAACCAAATTCCCCTAAGATGTATCGATATTCAGAACTTCGAACAGCCATATCTCGGGAATGAAAATACGAATAAAGGTATGACATTTTCCCTTACAACCACAGAATTCGCGTCGACCTTTGACCCTTTCCCACCACATTCTTTTTCACGTCAATTTTGAATTTCTCTCAGAGTATATTAAAACAGGGAACACATGGAGAAAATTTTCCTGACAAAAATCACGTTTCGATTATGCAGTACACCTGCCGTGGTACAATAAAGCACTAAATTGGCTACGTCAAAAAATACGAATATAACTGAAAATCGTGCCCTTCGGTTTCTAATTACCTGTATAGAACGTTGTTCCGCGTTGTCGGCTAAATAGTCGGTTTGGGCAAGATTCGGAGCTAAAAGTTGCCTGGAACACAGAATACCCATTGTGTAATTCGGGAAGATCGGCGACAGGGGCGATTTCGAATTCGACCTCTGGCCAGCAGTGGCTCACACTTACGTATTTAATTCTAAATCTAGGCGAAATTTATGATTAAAGGCCTTGATCAAGAGGGACGTCCGATGATAATGTCTCCCCGTCTGAAAATCGAAGGAAACTTGTCTCGTTAAGCGTGTCGAAAAGTTGGCTTGTTAATCGCCGCCTTACCAACTTCTCTACACTTACTTTCATTCTGCCTTTATTCTGATGTCCCTCTCCGTATCCTCTTTGAGGAAACTAAAACGTGAGAAAGTTTCAGAGTTACAGGAGTATCAGGCAAATCGATAGTCCGCGGATGAAGGTGGTTACACCTCGACTAGGCCTCCTAGGTGGTGGAGATCTGGCCTGATCCAGGGGCTGGAAATCAAAAGGGGGAAAGAAATGGACTTGGTGTTGGTTACCTTGGATACGCTGATTTCTCTTGTGGATATCCCCATTTTCTCGTGATGCCGTAACTGTACTGGATAGATGATCTGATAGTAATTAGCCCCGATATTTTGTACTAGCTCTTGGTTTTGTCGATACTCTTGTAGTAGTCGTTTGGCCTCATCTGAAATCAATTTCGCCGTTCAATCGGACGCCCCAGTTCACCCCGTCTATCTGTAATTTTATCTACGTCTTTGCTCTCGCCTCGTGTCGCCCTTGTTTCCCTCTGTGACACGGAAATGCCGGCGAAAAGACGAGTGTCGATCAAGCACGAGGACTATTGGAACGGAAGACACCGGTATTATATCGGTAAATATCGGTATTGTGCATAAAGCTTCTATGAAAGCCAAAACACAGAAATATCGGTACTGACCAATGCATGAAAATATCGGTACACTGATTTTTATTAACGCGTTAAACGCCACACCGGTTTTACGTGCCGTTCCGTTCACGCCATAGTTAGCTGTCATGCGGGCCCTTCTGGGCTTTACAAACCGGCAAGGCCTGAATGGAAAGTCTAATGCCGGTCCTTAAGGACCGGTGTGGCATTTAACGTGCAAACCGGTAGATTGTTTGATTTTTCTACTAGCTTACGAAATTTTACGAATTTTCTAAGCAGAGACCAAGGAAAATTGAATTTTATTGCAAAATAAATTATAGTGGAACGGAGATCGGTTCTCGAGTTCGACAGAGTGCTAGAATGATAATGGTATTATCGGTAATACCGAGTATACGCTATAATATTCTGCCAAAAACGAGTCGATTTTTCGAACGAGCCGATAATAATCGGAGCGTCCACGCTCTTCTGCATTTCACGAACGAATAAAGGAAGCGAGCACACGCACGGGAGTTAAATTTTCGCTGAATATGGAACCGCGTATTACCGATTCAGCAAAATCACCAGATCGGTTGAAAAACCGCATCACCTGAATTACCAATGAGATTATCGGCTGAGATATGAAATCGCGCGAACACTACTTCCAGTTATTGTGTAGGAAACTATATTGTGCACATGTGATCTATAACCAATTCAAAATCGAATTTTTAGATTCATAAATTTCTGTTAGCTATTATCTTTTTCGACAAAATTTTTTATTATCAAATAATTGAAGATAGTCGAGATGGTCACGCTAAATGGACCACCATGTACTATACACACCGGTTGTGTCTGTGTACGTCTCACAAAACACATGTATATAATTCGATTGTGCGATACCAAAAGTTTTTCGCGAATATCTCGGGAACCAAACCCGACCAACCATAATTGTCCGAGGAAAAAGTTGCTCAAAACACCGCCGTTTATAACATATTAAAAAATCATGGAAATCGGTGAGGAACCAGTTCATCGTTAGCGGGACTTAGGTGTAATTAACAGGATCGGCGTTATAAGGTGAATTTTCCTTCGGTCTCTTTTCAAGGCGCTATAAACTGTTGCTGCTGTGAGCTACGAATGAGTCGAGATAATCAGTGGAGGGCCTCCTCGAAGCATGTAGTATCTAGTTTACCCTCTTATCGACTGTCCGGGCTTTGCCCGATTTAACCCGACCCATTCAAAATGAAGTGTATGGATAATTACTTGCCACGCTTCTGCACCCTTTCCCTTCCGCTGTCGCCCCTTTTGAACACGTAGACGTCGTGTAATGAATTATTACGCGGCTGTCGCTAATCGCGACAGAGCAACTAATTACCATGCCACTCGAATCGAGCACCGTGGCCCGCTTTTAACAGCTATTTTCGTTTCGGGAGAAACGATTAAACAATCTGCCGATTATCTTCCACTTTGCGCACTCGTTCTTCTATATCCATTTCGCCTCCGCGTCGCGGAATTGCCACTCCGCGCGAATTTCGACGCGGACGTACCATTTTCGGGCCATTTTCGTGCCGTTTAGTCTAGCTCCCCGGGACTTGGCGGAAAGGAGGAAGAAAAGTGGAAGAAAGGGGGAGAAAGTTTAATGCACGCCTGATGTGTAACACCTGTTGACGAAATGCGTCGAAACACGTCGTATTTAGACCAGACGTTGCATCCATGAACCAGCGTTTAGCCACGTGGAGGCAACTCCGGCGATAACAGTTATGGTAATCTCTGACCTGCGAGGTTATGGTAATGTTCCTCGCAAATGCAAGGCCCTGGTAAAATTCAATTAAAGTTATTAAATGAATATGGATGAGGTATACCCGTATTGCTCGCCGATTATTTACCCTTCACTAAGGGGATTCAATATAATAAATTGCTTATTACTCATTTGTAATACTCGTGTGGATGATACTGGCTTCTTTCCGAGCTCATTGTATTATTTGTACTATTTTACAGGAATTTGTATCAAATTTTTAGATTGTAATTTATTTTAGACGAACATACTTAGTTTCTTTCATCATTTCTTTCTCTCATACCTGTCTTTGCAACACTGATACCTCTCTGTTTCGTATGTATTATTATGTGTGTTTATTATTATTATTATTGTATTATAATAAATGGACGAATTCTTAGGTTATAATTTTCCTTTTCTCGAGTTTTCTTTTCTGTATATATTTTTGGAGTTCTGCACCTTTTTATTTTGTATGTATTATTATGAGTGTTTATGTGGGGCCTTTCCCTGCAAATTTTTATTATCCAGTTATACCAATAGTAAATTATTATTATTATTATTTTTATTATATATTAATGGTAGTTAAATTATGGCTGGAGTGTAAACGTGAGATTTTTGAAAATTTGATTTGGAGTTTAGAGAAGGTCTTAAGCTTAGGAGCCTTCTGTTAAAGTTGATGAATAGCTAATGAAATAAAGCAAAATTTATAGTTAGTTAATGAAAGGAAATTAATTATTAAGGCTGAAGTTAATCATATATTAATGAAAGAAAATGAATTGCTGGTATATCTGCAGCTTATGTGGTAAATCGATCAATTCCATGAAATAAAAAGTGGAAATTTATTTAAAAAATGAAGAATTCATCACCAAAAGAGTCTCCCAAGAGAAATTCAAAAAATGGAATTAATCTAAAATACTTTGGCCTGTGAACGACTTCTCCATCTCTATCTCTATAATAAGATATTAATTATAAAATGAAATAATTATAGAGATATGTTAATAATAATTTGTATGCATTAATTAATATGTACGAAAAGAATTTATACAGTATTAGTTTACAAATCAGAGTAATTAACTCCAGTTTCGGAAAAATTCATTTCTTGATCGATAATTAACTTTTTGTATTCAAAATAAATTTCTAGGTTAAGTTTTATGAGGTTAACCGATGTGGAAAATGAGCAGCTTATTTATTAATATTATTCATAAAATATCAATTCAGTAAAGACTATTTGTGATCAAAATATGACTCGACGTATGATATATGTACAGTCAATGACGAAAGTATTTGAAGACACACGCCTCAAGTGTTTTAACAAATAAAATACACTTATTAAATTTTGTCTTAAACATTCAAGGGAAATACCCTTTGACACGTTTAAGAACTTACATTATCATCTTCAAAAATTAAAAATTTAATAACAGCTTATAAATCAAGATGATCGGAGGTACGTATGTACTTACAGCTGATTTGCATATGGTCTGTAAATTAAGCCCACTCATAGTCGTTTTTATAAACGCTTGGTAAAACCCCCAAAACAACAAAACTCGAATCCTTCCATTTCTAATAAATTATCCTCAAAACATATTTTCGTCGACATACCTAATAATATATATTAGTCAAACTCCATTGGAATCGTACTAACCATTCAGAATGCACCCGAATGTTTTAAAGGACTTTATTTTAGAATTTAAGAGATATTATGAGACTTCAAGATTTTAAGAGATACTGTTAGGCTTTAAGAGACTATCAAATACTTCAACAGACTTTCACGTAACACTCCATACAGAATTTTATCGTAGATTTTTATTCTCGTGTAAAAGACTTTCCACCAGACCTCGATTATACACCACACTCTACATTATCTCAAGAACAGAAGTTTAAAGTGTACAGTGTAATATAAATTTATCGTGTTACTAAAAAATTTCAATCGTGACATCACTCTTTAAATAAATATAAAGCTGTTGAACTTTTGGCACCAAAATTCGAAGTTTTGAAAATAATAGTGAAGTTGAAGTAAGAGATTATTGAATGACCTATCTTTTCAATATATAACTTTGAGTCACTAGAGTCACTAGATTATGGAATAACCAATCTTTTCAATAGCTAACCTCGAGTCACTAGATTGTCGAATTACCAATCATTTCAATATCTATCTTTGAGTCACTAGAGTTACTAGATTGTTGAATAACTAATCTTTTTAATATCCAACCTTGAGTCACTAGGAGTCACTAGATTATTGAGTGACCAACCTTATAAATCTCTAATTTCGAGTCATTAGAGTAATCAAGTAATAAACGTATGCTAATCAAATCAAATCACTTATTTAATACAGTTTTCATTTTAGAAAGCAAGTACGTGTAGGAGAAAAATTATCACTTTAATAACAAAGTCTCTAATAATTCCAGCACATATAATCTTAATTTAACAATTAATCTATTAATCCTAATCTTAGAATTGGAATGCATTTTCCAAACAGTTCAATTTTTTACACTATCCCCACTATAAACAATTTTCTTGTACTATTATACTTAATTTGCTTTTTAAGTCCCCAAATATAGCGTTTACTGTGGTTAGAAAAGCATTCGAACAGGTAAAAGTAAAGAAACATTGGGGATTTCCATATTCATATTATCTATCCTAAATGTTGCAATAATTTGCGTTTATGGGCAAATTGTAAAGAGCATTGGGGAGTTACTAAAGAAAAAAAAAACGAAAATAAAGTAAAAGAGAGAACATTAACATTGTAATTACAGTAGAATCTCAGTTATGTGAATACTCATTGTGTAAATGTTCTGCTACAGTAGAAACTTTCAACCAGTGTGATACGACACATTAGAGTACCATAAAAATTTTTAAATGTGCCATGAGAATTTTTGAAATGTGCAATATCTGACTTTTTATGTATGTGGAGATAATAATCTCTTTTTCCTTAAATGAAAAAGAGATAAATAATTATTATTACTATTATTATTATTACTATGACTATTATTTTTAAATCAGTTAAAAGTATACTTGCTAGAGGTGTACACTATAATCT